TCATTTATTATAATTTTCAACTCCAGAATTTCCATTTAGATCACTTTCAAAATTTCTGTTGATATTTTATATTTGATTAGTTACTGTCATCATACTTTCCTTTAATTCTTTAAAACAAAGCTTCCATTAGCAGTGAAAGCATTTACAATACTGCTTTGAAGGCTTTGTGTCCTAAGTCAATCTGGGGCTACCTCTATCAATGAGTGTCCCCACCACCACCACAGGTCACATTTTCCTATTTTGTTGCATGTTTCATCATCTTCTGTTACTGAGAACTGGACATATTTGATAATATATTTCACCAACTCTGTTTTCTGATACTACCTGTGTGTTTTGCCTTGTGACTTCCTGGACTAATTCTATAAAGTGTTTCCCCTGCAGTGTGAGGCTGTTCAGTTTTCTTCATTATTGGCTTCCTCGAGGAGAGCATAACTTACTGGTCAGCCAATGACTGGTGAGGGGCTGTGCTGAAACATCTTGAGCCAGTGACACTTGCACCTTTTTCTTGATGTATCAGTTCAGTTTGGGAAATGGTGCAAAGTTCAGGCAGGTTACAAAATTTCCCAGGTTTTTATTTTCTGCATGTGCAAGGACTTAAATTCAATCATGAATTAATAGATAGCTAAGACCCTCTTTGGTTTCTGCTGAGCTTGTGCATAGCCTTGTATATATGAGCAGCCTTCCAGATCATTTGGGATATGGGGAAGTTTATCAATACATACTATGGTTGTCTTGTTCTCTGGATCTCTTTGTTAAACTTTTGACTGGTCTCTCAGTTTGTTGCTTTCCTTAACCAGTATCTCAACCCCAAGCTAATGATATTCCTTGACTATTTGCCACCACGATCACTGTTTGTTACAATTCTCTTAGGCAGGCATTCATCCCTGCTCTATTCCAAATCAAGTCAGCCCTGTCATCCCTGCCTTGGTAAAACTATCATGTTGGGTAGGAGGGAATGGGATTAGCCCTAGGTAAAATTACTATGGATTCCCATTATTCTTATCAAGGTTTAGTGGTTTTTCTTAAATAAATGCTTCTCAACTTGTTGAATACCTATGGTCAGTTTCCAGAATCCTGAAATAGTTGGCTGACAATTTTGTACAGTGCTATATTTTGTCCAGTTGCTTTTGAGGGAGAGGATTTGCTGAGATCCTCACTCAGCCACTGCAGAAATCATGATACTAATTTTGAAACAAATTACTGACCCTTTATATTAGAGACAAATATTTCTTTCACCTTGTTGCTTATTTACCAACCTGATTCATCTTTTAAAAATTATCCTAAAAATTCAAATGAATTTTTAGAAGTGAAAATGGAGGTAAAATAAAACAAAACTCAAAAATCACAAACGAAATTAATCAGTTTGGAATCTAGAATTTAAATTTCAGATTTATTTAAAAATAAGGAATACAGGGGTGCCTGGGTGACTTAGTCGTTAAGCGTCTGCCTTCGGCTCAGGTCATGATCCCAGGGTCCTGGGATCGAGCCCCGCATCGGGCTCCCTGCTCAGCAGGAAACCTGCTTCTCCCTCTCCCACTCCCCCTGCTTGTGTTCCCTCTCTCGTTGTGTCTCTCTCTGTCAAATAAATAAATAAAATCTTTAAAAAATTAAAAATTAAAAAATAAAAATAAGGAATACAGAAAGCAGATCATTTGATTTCAATGATGAAAAAAGTTCTAGACTTGATTCTATCACTTCCATGCAATTTTGGTAAGTTCCTCAACTTTTGTGAATCTCAGTTTCCTCTTTTATAAAATGGGATGGCGACACTAATTTAATGCAGTTATTTTAAGGAACAGATGAAATAATGCAAGTAGAACAAAGTTCCATAAAAACATGAGATTATGCCAACATTATATTTTTAAATAGGGATGCTATAAGCATCTGCAAAATAATTAAGCCAAGAAATATATACACTGTGCTATATAGGCTCCCTGCTCGGCGGGGAGTCAGCTTCTCCCTCTGACCCTATCCCCTCTCATGTGCTCTCTCTCTCTCATTCTCTCTCTCAAATAAATAAAATCTTTAAAAAAAAAAGTTAAAAAAAATAGCATTCCTTTAAAAAATTTTTTTGAAAGATTTTATTTATTTGTCAGAGAGCGAGACAGAGAGAGAGAGAGAAAGAGCACAGCAGGGGGAGTAGCAGGCAGAGGGAGAAGCAAGCCCCCTGCTGAGCAAGAAGCCCGAAGCGGGACTTGATCCCAGCACCCTGGGATCATGACCTGAGCTGAAGGCAGATGCTTAACCGACTGAGCCACCCAGGCATCCCTTCTTTTTTTTTTAAATCAACATTTCTTTTTTTAAGTTTTTATTTTAATACCAGTTAGTTAACATACAGTGTTACGTTAGTTTCAGGTGTACAATATAGTGATTCAACAATTCCATACATCACCCAGTGCTTATCTCAGTAGCATTCTTAGTATCTATGGTAAGTCATGCTGACTTCAGAAGATATTAGTATGTGATGAAATCAGACTGCAATATTCTAAGAAAAAAAAAAGCTACTGCAGCTACATAAAAGCCTTTCAGTATTTCTTTACAATTTCTCATTTGTATACTTAAATATTTTTTAAAATGTTATTTTATGATAGCTAAAAATCAGAAAAAAAATCAAGACAACATTGTCAACATAGGAATATTATAAACAAGAATGAGTCTTCTGAGCATGAAAATTAAAAAGACTACAT